TCATCATCATCATCATCATCATCATCATCATCATCATCATCATCATCTTGTTCTCTTTTTCAATGGAATTCCAACAGAAACAGTCCTGGGACAAGTTGTTATCCTGCACTTGTATTCTTTCATATTTGCATTCTCAAATACCCAAGTGGATTTCTGTTCTCATCAATTCAGGAATTTTTTGCAGTGAGATAAATTGAAACCCGCTGATACTTGCCTATCCTCTGTGACCCCCCCAAAAAGCACTACATGAGGTCAACTTAGTGTGCTAGAGGTCTTCCTCAACTACCCCACCCCACCCCCATATTTCAAGAGTATTGGTGGAATACTCTGGCTCTCCACCTGTCTATCATTTTTCACTCTTGCCACACGAGTGGCCCATCTTCTCTTCCTGTCATATTCTTCTTTGTTGATACTGTCCCTTTATTCCTAGAATATTGAACATGTGGATAAAATAACAATTTTTTATAGTTGAATAAAAGTATTGGGTTGTAAATTTGTCTTCCTTAGGCTCTTTGAAAGCATTCTTGGTATAGCTGCAACGGCAGAGAAGACAATGGGGATGACATTGCACCTCATGCTATTGATCTTCTTCTTCGCTGTCTCCTTTGCTGTATTTTGAAAGCTTTTGATTCCATGTACTTTGGAGATTTTGAATATTTAATATGGTGACATCTATTAAAAAACCTTGTTCTTAAGTTTTTATGGATCATTGTTGTATCCAGGGGATTGTGGGCAATAGTTTGGCCTCTTGTTCATTCTTTGTTCTCGAAGAGGACCAGTGACATTATGACAGTGATGTTTTTATTTGTGATTGAATTAGATTTAAGTGAGGCAAAGTCATTAGCCTCCCTCTCTCCTCCAGAGTCATTGGGATCCAGTGCCAACACAAAAGCCAAGACAACTGGCAATGGCCCAGGATCAACAGTTTGGTCTATGATAATGCTCTGGGTCCAATATGGTTTATTGGTTGTATTCTCAAAAGATATTTTGAGGTCTGTATTTATAGTGTGAGCACTTGTTGTCTGTCAGTACCTCAAAGATAGCAAGTTTCTGATGTATCTAGCCACAATTCTAGGTCATGTCTTGCTAGATAGCTGCTACATTTTTACAGTCCCCAATGATGTGGTACACAGTTTCTACCATTTCCTTGAAAAATTTACAGGTCACTAAGTCTGGTTTCTTAAGGGTGACCCTCCTGTAGTTTCTTGGGATGATGACTAGTGCTGTATTGCCATCATAAACCTCAGTTTCTATAAGCAAATTTACATGATTCAGTCATTTGGTTTTTTTTTGTTATTATTGTTATTATATCCTTTTCTTCTTTTAAATTATTGTGAGAGAAGGGATGAAAGTATTACTTTAATAGGCTTTTTGTTTGCTGTTGTTCTTGAATTGCCCCAGCATGGGAGATAAGGAAGTGAACCAGTTCCAAAGTATTCTTTATCTAGGCTGTGGTTCAATTTGCCCTTTTTCTCAGACCAACCCTTGCAGGAAGCTCCACATCTGGGTAAACTTGGTCTGTTCACTCTCCCCCAGCCACATCTTACCTCTTCCTACCTCCATGTTTTTGGTTATACTATTCCTAATAACTGAAATCCCTCTCTCTTCTGGTAAAATCTTACCTGAGATTGTAAGAGGTCTTAAGTTCCCTGACTCTGGGAAACACAGTGGTCTCTCCCTCCTCTGAACTCCTTCAGCTCTTAATAACTGTCCTAATCATTGGGCACTTTTCATATCTCATTGTATTGTTAACTATCTTTCTGTGTATATGTATGAAAAGAAACTGTCAAAATACATGAAGAAAGGCCTTCATTTCATTTATAGATCCTCTGTGGAAGGTCTTGAATTGCACAGGATGAGTGGACGAGTACTACAGTCTGCACTAGTGTAAAGATCATAATCTGCTGAAGTATTGAAGCACCTTTTATCCATCCATTTAAATTACAAGTTCCTAGGAGTAAAGGAATCTGTTTATAAATATCCTTCACAATACCTGATGTCTAAGGAAGGGGCACAGGAAATACTTGTTGGTGGATTGATGAGTCAGGTTGGTTATGTAATGGTCCTTTAAGCTGGTCCTTAAGCCTGACCCTCTAGAGCAGGGGTTATTAACCCGGGGTCCACAGATCCTCAAGGGGCCTGTGAACTTGGATGAGGGGAAAATTATATTTGATTTTCATTAACTTCCAAATGAGATTTAGCACTTCCTTCGGTTATGAGTTTAAAAAAAAAAAAGTGCTATTCTGGGAAGGGGTCCATAGACTTCACCAGACTGCTAAAAGTGTCCATGTCACAAAAAAGGTTAAGAATCCCTTGTATAATGAGTGAATCAAGAGGGATATGGGAGAACGTGTCGGGCTTCATGAGTCTGAGATTCTGATTAGTTTGAGCGCTCGCTTTAACTTGTCTCCCCCTTGCTTCTTGGCAAAACTAGGCATGTACATAGGTAGTAAGATAAGTGAAGCCTGAACTCTTTACTGAGCATATAGCACACAGTTTTCCTTTCCTTTCACAAGTGGCTGTTAAGTAGGCTGCTAAAAAAAATAAAATAACTCCTTCTCAGGAGGTGTTAGGAGAAACATCTGTTGTTCCCACCATCCCTTCCCCTGTGCTGACCCTATGCTATACCTGACTATAACTGCAGCCCAGAACTCACATCCAGGCCCCTCATTTTAAGAGGAAGGTTTTGGTCAGCCCTAGAGGAAACTGATCTAATCTGGACCATTAAGAGGGATACTAACAAACTAGAATGCATCCTGGTGAGATGTTTATTCCCCAAGGAAAGATTCGAGGAAGGGGAGAGCTGTTTTGCTTGTGGAAGTCATGGAGAACATGATTGCTCCCTTTAGATAGCCAAAGGTCAGCTGTGGAAACATTGTAGCGTTATTCTATGTGGCTTAAGAAGGAAAGGACATGAATAGAGACCAAAACTGTGATTTCATTGGTACCAGAAGCTACCAGAGGAGGAAACTAACTCTCTTTACCAATCCAAGTTAATACTTTCTCTGCAACTTTTAGTCTTAGAGAATTTCTGGGCGTACTGAGAGATAAAGTGATTTGTTTAGTCGGTATGTGTCAGAAGCAGCACTTGAACCCTGGCTATGAGGCCAGCTCCCTATCTAATTCCTACTAAAAGGGGAAAACTAAGAAGAAAGTATGGAGGGGACAGGTTTTTGGTTCTGCGTTACTGATAGTTAAACAGGCTACCTTATTAAGGAATTGGCATAGTAAGAAGGCACCCTTGAGGCAGGAAGGGACCAAGTTTGGCCATTTTTGCCTACTGGGCATCTCTACCCTTGTTGGGGCTATATCCCAGTTTAACCTGGGAAAGGCAGTGTAACTGTTGCTTGTCCATTTGGTCCTGGGCCATTCTGTGCTGCTGATGACGATTGTTCAAGTTCAAGGTGAAAGAAGAATTAGATACTACTCTCACTGTAGTAAGGTTGCTCAGTAGTGATCCCTTGGGTTACCTAGGTGTTTCACTTCGTGCATGTTTCCCTCATCCCCATCTTGTGTTTTTTGCTGGCTGGACCGAAGTTCTGGAGAAGCATCCAGGAGAACGTGTGGTGTGCATTTTCCCAGGAATGTCTTATGTGTCTGTGGATGTTACTGAACCGCCCCAGAGTCTGGACACAATTGCCTCTGTTTGAAAATTGCTCTGTGATGATGAGTCTGTGTCTTAGACACAGCAGGATCTGTCAGTGACTAGCACCTACCACGTGAGCTCCCTCACCCTGGAGGTCTCTATGTAGAAAAGAGATGATTACTTATCAGGTACAGTTATAGAGGGAGTTTTTGTTTGGCTGGGGTTGGACTAGGTGACCCCATTCCAACTCTGAGATTCTGTGATTCCATGAAATGGAAACCTAGCAAATCCTTTTAGGGTGAAATTTGTAGCAATGGCAGCCTCAGATCAAGAGAATCATTTTGCAGGCTGTCCTTAGATTAATTGTCACTGCATTGATTGATGCCCAGAGCATCAGCTAACCACCAGAGTTATCCAGGAAAAAATCTTTGCCTCCCAGCTCTGTATCTTACTTTAGCTCCTGTTTGTCTAGTTCTTTAAGTTTATTTTTAACATTTTTTTTCTAGACTGTTATCCCCATATGCCATTAGCCCATTTTACAGATTTGGAAAATTAGATAAAAGAATGTTAGGTGACTTAGCCATTTAACCATGGATGAATTGGATTTTGGGCATTTTGACTAGAATCCAAGGGTTTTGAATATTTAGTGAGTGTGTAGTAGTAGTAGGGAATAGTGAGTATGGTAGTGGGTAGTAGTGAGTATGGTAGTAGGAAACATACTGTTCTTGGAGTCAGTGGACCCGAGTTCAAATCCTAGCTCTAACACTTAGCAGTTATACAACTTTGTATAAGTGATTTCACCTTTTTAAGTTCAATTTTCTCATCTATAAAATGGGGATGTTAATACACTAACTCATCTCACAGGGTTGTTATAAAGAAAGTGCTTTGTAAGCTTTGAAATGCCATAGAAAGATAAATTATTATTTCTGTTAGCTCTGTAAATATATCCTTCTCCTTCCCTATTTCCTGAGGCTGTAGTAAAGATGCACTTGTCAAAAGCTGTCTTTGGAGAGTAGATTTTTGCTTCAAGTTCCAGAGACCAGTAACCACAGAAGTAGTGCCTTGTGGTAGAGGGGAAGATGGCAGGCTTTATTTTTTATGTACCTAACAGTGTCTTTCTTTTCTTTTTTCTCTTTCCAGCTGTGTGGCTGCGGGTTGCTAGGGGTGGGCATCTGGCTCTCTGTCTCCCAGGGAAACTTCGCCACCTTTTCCCCCAGTTTCCCTTCGTTGTCAGCAGCCAATTTGGTCATTGCTATTGGAACTATTGTCATGGTGACCGGCTTCCTGGGCTGTCTCGGAGCCATCAAGGAAAACAAATGTCTCCTTCTCAGTGTAAGTGTGTTTCCCTCCTTCTCCTCCCAATCCTTTGCTTCCTAGTTTGTTTGGGGGGGGTGTGTGTGTGTGTGTGTGTGTGTGTGTGTGTGTGTGTGTGTGTGTG